ATTTCAATATTGCCAAATTTTCCCAGGGAGAATCTTGGACACTTCTAACCGAGGATTTCGCTTGTTTTTCTTTTGTTCTCGGGCAATAGTAAGGAAATTTTGGACAGAAATTGTACTGGTACATACTACATACTTGTAAAATATTGAATTTGTTGACAATTTTGCAACTTTGAGATGTAATTACATACCTTCGTCCGGGAAACAAGGATTTAGACTACCCTGAACTCAGAGAGAAATGCAATATTAATCAGTTATAATCAGATATAAGTGTGTTTAACGCGGTTGTACAATGTCAAAACCCTTATGGTATACATTTCGCCCTTATAATAATTTTTATGAGGATCTACTTTTTTAAATAAACTTCTTACTGTGCCTCAATAACCCGTTCGAGGTCGGCAAAATAACGTTGCTCGCTTCTTCCAATTAAGACCGAGGAAAGTCTTAATGACGACGATCGTTGAGCTTACAGCGATGATGACTGCATAAACCTGCTTGCGCCCAACGTTAGACGATACCGTAGAAATATGAAAGCAAAGGAGGACCGATTTCTGAGAAAGCCCGAGACTTCAAAATGCATGCACCTCGAAGATTGGCCGCATTGTTTTAATCTAATTTTAACGAATTTGAAACGGAAAATCTGGGAAGCGTTTGTCGATGTTTTGTTCTTTATTTGCATCCCTGGAGGAGCGTGGAGAGCATTTAAATCTTTAGAGGTACAGAAGTAGCGAACAACAAGTTTATGGTTCGATCGATGTTTCCTTCGCCTCCCTCTTCGGTATTTACGGATTCAATTCGGGGCAATATAAATTACCGCCCGAAACCTACAACTCACGGGAACGGGTCCCACAAAATGTTGCCGGTTGAACCTCCGAAGAAAGTTCGGCTTGAAAAATGGCGGACAGGAGGACGAGGATGTAAATGGACTGCGCTTAGCAGAGAGGAACCAAGCCACATCAGCTATTCACAAATTTAACTAGGCAATTAAATTTTTTACAAGAGAACGTTGAAGCGAATGCTTTTGAAAAATTTTAAGGCATTTGACTTGCACTATGCAGAAAATTCACTGAAAATTGCAAAAAAAATCCGCTTAAGTGCATTTATGTAAACAATTATATCGCCTGGTTAAATTTGACAATAGCTGATGTGGCCTTGGTTCCTTTCTGCTTAACGCGGTGCAAATGATGGCCCAGTAAGACAGAAACGCAATGCAGAGTGACAATTAAAACCTAATAAGCGCAGTCAGGTGTTGCTAATACTGAGCAACCGTTCCTTTCATCCGACATGTAGGAATCTAGTGGCCAGGATGGTCAATTTATAATGACAACGAGACCAAAAAGAGAAAATTTCTTCATAAAAATTCAACGAGGCGAAAAAATGTGGTCTCTCATACTGAGGAACAACATGCAATCCGAGCAATGCCCAATGGCGCGTACCAGGTTCTGAATTTCCATTTTTCGAGTGATATAGAACCACATTAAAACGGCCTATATCATGAGTGGTAATTTTATGACTAATTTAGGGTCACATTTGAATATACCTTGTACCCCCTGGAAAACTATCTCCTTTAGAATTTAGGCGTCCGACCTGTTTCTGTAAGGTTTCGATTAAAAATTGGATAAGCGAAGAACTGTGTCCTTGGTTTGTAGCTCGATGGGCCGATAGTTTCGTGAATTTTTCTGAGTTGTGGACAATTCACGCAAACAACAACCGTTTTCGGTGTTGAGAGGGATTAATAAATTTAAAAAAAGCTTCCATGACGTCGAATGGCGATTGTATCTCCGGGGTGGTTCGCAATAGAGTAGTTTTGTTTCTATTTCCATAAACTTGAATGTTTGTTGGTTGTAACCTTCAATGACGTAAGATTTTCTGTTCATTGCGTATAAGATGGTAGTGCTGAAACCGTGAGGCCGAATATGCGCATATTCGTGTAATCGAACTTGTGTGGTAAAGTGAACTGACGAACTAAGTTTGGACATACATGCCGAACGTTCGCGGTTACACGAATCGAAAGTTCAGTTTGACAAACCGAATATTTGGAATGAAATGGAACACCGAAGGTGCGGTTCACATGACCAATTTTTTTCTTTTCCCAGTGAGGGTTCGTCCTCACCGCAAACCGCATTACAATAATGGAGATTTCATAAATTTGACAACTAAGACTTAGGGTCCTGAGAAATAAAGTACCTAAGACGCGATGGTTGAGGCGTGTTGGAGCTGTTCTTTAATTCGAACGCCTTAATTTTTGGCTCACTCCTGATCTGAATACAAATTACCGGCTGAGACGCACTACGTGCGTCCCCGGAAACTCGGGCTGCGTTCTCGGGAAACGAGGTGTTCCACGGCTAAATCCACTCCAAAGTTCTCAATTTTACGGCAAGATAAACGTCTCTTTCGCCGGCTCAATCCTGCAGAACGGAGCCGAAGTTAAAATCAAGATCTTGTGATTCAGAATACGTCTAATCTCCACGAAGTTAGAAGAATGCGCACAAGGTTACACACGAAGATGCGGATAAATGAATCGTCACCTTCCGGTCAAAGTATCACAAGCGCCGCATACGACGTTTTAAAATTTCCACCGTCATTTTATTTTTTTACAGAGAAATTTTTCAACGAAGCTGTCCGAAAATTTCACTGAATTTTCTTCGCACTGCCGATAAAATTCACTGAAATTTTCAAATAGATTCAACCAACAATTTCTCTGGAAAAAAATAAAATCGCGGCGGAAATTTTGAAACGTCGCATGGCGCTTGTGATACTTTGGCTGGAAGGTGACGAATTGCTGTTAGGGCTGTAAAATCGCAGAAAAATTGCCATGTCGTCACCTTCCGACCAAAGCGCCATGCGACGTTTAAAAATTTCCGCCGCAATATTATTTTTTCACAAGTAAATTGTTGGCTGGATCTGATCGAAAATTTCACTGAATTTTATCGACAGCACAAAGATATTCAGTAAAATTTTCGGACAGCTCCGTTGAACAATTTCTCTGCAGAAAAATAAAATGGCGGCAGAAATGTTTAAACTTCGTATAGCGCTTGTGATGCTTTGGCCGGAAGACGATGTGCATATCAAAAAGTCTGAAATCTGCTTCTAAACGCAAGATTTTGCGAAAAATTTTGAGTGAACTTAATATTTTCATCAAAATATGTTCAATTCCATAGATTTATGTTTACTGGAAACTTAAGAATTAACTACTTAATTCACCTTGAAAGTGTGACTATTTTTCACTCTCGGATCTTCATATACAATATTCATCTTTTGCTGAAAACTGGCCACGAGTGTACTTATCATCATGGAGATCACTTCTGTCATCATAATTCTGTTTCCAGGCAGGACGGCCTGTTTTTCAAGGAAAGTCATCTTGTGGAGCTAAGTTACATTTTCCGGTATTCAAGGGACTAAGTCAAAGAAAGTCACTTCTCGGAAGAAAATCCCTTCTCAAACGAGGAATTCGGTCTTGGTTAATTAATATTCCTGCTCAGAGTTGCCTTTTTGACTACCAATAAGTCACACCGCAGAGAAGTTGCCAAATTCGTCGACCATTCAGATTTCCATTTTCACAGAGCAATGTTCAGTGATAGCAGCAGAGACATGATATATATTTTACTGGCCCCGTTTATTCACTTTCCGTTTGTGTAATTAGCCTAATAGTTGTACTCATAACCAAATCCTGACCTAATTTTCAAAAACTCTCACAGTGGAGTGCTCCCACCGGCATTCATCAATCATCGTTGAGAAAAATTTATTTGACTTTCTACTCAACACGTTGCTCATCGATCATCATTATACGCAAAAAATAGCGTTGCACTCCAAACTCATGTTTTGCCTCAACCGATTAAATTGCTTAAATTGTGAATGTCTTTCTTTATTTTAGGTTTTTACATTTCTCCTAATTTTAAGGCGGCTGGTTCATCTATAGATTATTATTAGCTTATGACCGAGACATCATAGATTCCGACCCGCTTAATCCACAAAAAACATATAAATAAATAGAAACCACTTTCACAGCGCTCTTTGACGCTCTGCGACACCAAGTCGCATAAGTCCTTTACGCTTCTAAAGCCCATTAGAAAGTGACACTCCCTCATTTCTTGCGAAACCTCTTGTCGTCATCCTTTTACTGAGCGTTCTCTCTTTGTCTCCTCCCAGGAGGAGCCGGAACCCAATCAAACATTCTCTTCGGCAAACTTTCTTGCGTAAACTTTCTTCCGTCATCCCGTTTACACGATAAAAATAACACTGTGTCAAAAATGAAATATCGGGAGTTACAAACGTGCATTAAACTTGCACGCTCTAAAGTAAGATGGAGACATAAAAAATGGAGGGCATACATTAAATTGAAATATAAAAACGTGAATCGATCGACGTGAACGGATCAACAACCGAGAATAAATAAAAAAAACCCATGAATCGATCGAAAAATCCGTGAATTGATCGACAACCCCGTGGATTTACCAGCAAAATCCGTGAGTCAATTGAAAAACTTGTGAACTGATCACTAAATACGTGAGTCAATCGACGAACCCGTGAATTGATCAAGAAATACGTGAATCGATCGACAAAATCCGCGAATCGATCGACAAAATCCGTGAATCGATCGACAGCTCTATGAATCAATCGAGAAACCCGTGAATCGATCGAAAAATCCGTAAATTGATCGACAACCCCGTGGATTAATCAGCAAAATCCGTGAGTCAATTGAAAAACTTGTGAACTGATCAACAAATACGTGAGTCGATCGACAAACTCGTGAATTGATAAAAAAAATACGTGAATCGATCGACAGAACCTGCGAATCGATCGACCAAATCCGTGAATCGATCGAAAACTCTGTAATTTAATCGAGAAACCAGTGAATCGATCGACTCGGTTTCAATCGGTTCACACTTTTAATCGAAACCGGTTTTTTAATCATTTGTCGATCAGTTCATATCGATCGATTCACTTTTTTACTTTTCGGTGGAATCTACGTATACCCCTGGTAAAAATAATGTGTTACTTACGGGTGCAGTATTTCGGTTCATCGGACTTGTCTCCGCAGTCGTCGGCGCCGTTGCAGAATTTATCGAGCGGGAGGCACTGTCCGGTGTCGCAGTAGAACTCAGACAACTTGCACGGTGTCGCGCTCTTGGCCGCGTTCTTGGGCGTCGCAGGGATGCTCAGGTCGACCACGTTGCTCAACAAGCACAGGGTCAGTGCGCCCAGGAGAGCGCGCCGGGCCAGTTCCCACATCCTGTCCTCACCTGCAACAAGAAAACTTATCGTTATTTTCGCATTCATCAGAGCTCTGAGGGTTCAGAGTCGTTTTTTCGACAGTTCATTTCCTTAGGAAGCCCCTTATGGTAAGAAAAAATCACCGACATCTTGCGTTGACGTGGAAGGTAAAAAACAAAGGAACCTAAACGTACCGTTAATTATTTTTGGTTACTCATTATTTGAGTAACATCGACAAAAACAATATAGGTTACATTGACCAAATCTATGAGTTGAAAATTTTAGACCTTTTTAAAAGCTGAAGGCGAACCATCAGAATCAAGCCACTCCCAACTTCTACGAGACGTAAAGAGAAGCAAGAGTACACTAGCTCAGCAGGATATTTTCTTCCCAAATGCCTCAGTGTGATCTACAGTTTCAATGGGTTTAACCAAAAATTTAGTCGATCAACGAAGTCTTGTTGGTTGATCTGACAGAAAAAAAATAACTCAAAGTGACCGAGTAAGTTCCAAGCGGTCTAACTTGGTTTCGACTCGAGCAGACAACTTTGACCCAAACAATTTAGCCAATGAAATCCCTGTCGATTTCTCTCGATTTTGGACGGGGAAAAAATTTCGAGATTAGAGTCGAATCCTACGTCATTCGAGGCGTAGAATCGATTGCGCATAATCCTGAGGCTCGGCAAGGCCTCCTGAGTCGAGAAACGGTACGAGTGTTTTTGACCCTGTTGTAAAATCGCGACCACGCCAATAGCGCGGTCCAGCGGACTCGTAAAGGTTTCCTTACCAGAAAATCGGACCTAGGAAGTCATTTCCAAGTGAATTAGCTTGGTTTCGGCTCGATGGGAGAACGTTTGATTTTGACCCTAAAAATTCAGTTCATGTAATAATTCCGTTAGAGAATTTTGAATATCCGACGGTAAATTTTGCTGCACTAGTTGTCATTGTTGGGTTTTAGTGCGCTAAGGAAGATCAAGGCAGAAATCGATACATCCAAGCCTTTTTAGCGTCTGCCACTACTGCTAAGTGTGTGCTGAAAGTCAGTGCGCCTTCAATTTTGTCTCTATGCAGCAAAGAGGACACTCAGACACGAATAGTTGCTTCCATAGATTGGACCCCAACTGCCTTACATTCTCGACTAGCCAAGAAAAAAAAACATGGAAAAACATTGTCAAAATTACTTTTGCAAATTTAGAATTGAGTCGTGTTCCATCCTTTTGGAAATGTCTAATCTTCTAATGTAACTTTGACGATTTTTTTATGAATGCTAATACTGCCGTGCTGAGGAAAAACGCCTTAAGAACTTTCAGACATTGCCAAGTTTCTTCCGATAAAAACCAAATTTACAGGGAAAATTCTGAAAATTATTTTCCAAAACTTTCAGACACTTATGTGCGCAATTTAATCTAAAATATCTGAAAATTTCAAAGGAAAAATATGCATAAATGTTGTCAAAATTACATGTTTTATCACTGGAAATTTGGCAACTCTCGAATGTTCATACGGTGTTCTTCCTTAGCACGGCAGAATATGAGTACGTTACGATTCTGTTTTTTTTGGGAGGGGTCGCAACGCTGGCTGAAGAGCATCTGGAGCTGGTTGGGGCGGAAAAATGGGGCCCGAATACGAGCGATTTCCAAATCGTCAGAAGTTCATTCCCATAATGAACCTGACTCCCAATACATTTTACGATCTCGCGATAAGTTGAAGTTGGTGTTTAAATGCTTCCGTCGGCCGACAGATTTCAATGAAACCTCGCTTCCGCCGAGTCGCTTCCGTCCCCCGCCCCCCGCCCTCCCGCCAGACATCGATACGTAAAGAATTTATGTGTGTGTTTTCAGATGCACATAAAAAGTTGACTCATAACACTGTCGCACTTGATGACGTCATAACAAACAGTGTAACTACTTTCATCTCTCTAACCTGAGCCCCACTCCCGCCCTGAGTTTTTCTTACAACAGGATATCATTCATCTTTCCATCGTTGCCAGAACACGGGAAAAAAAGTTAGGGGTTACCCCCTAAAATTGCAGTGCTACTTCTGTTTGTTGGACGATACGGGGAATTTCTAGTTAATTTTGGCAGCACAGCAACTCAAGTTGGGATAGTGCTGGAAAATATGGGCTAGTAACCTAATTTCCTCTTGTACTACCATAATTTATTAATTGGAAATGCCCTATAATCATACAATCCCTACCTATTTTTTCCGTGAATATCGAGAAAAAAATTGTGTAGATGCATCGATTACCGAGTGAATAAATGTTTTATCAACAAAGAAAATGTAGGGATTTTTACGCACATACAAATAAAGCAAGCTTCATTTAAAGGATTGATTAAATCGTGCAATACTCTATATCCTCCCCTCGCAAAGAGGGGACTAAAAAGACTTCAACAACGGCGAGACCCAGGAAATATCTCAGCGCTGTGATTGGTTGAAACCGTTGCTAGGAGTCCTTAAAATAGCGTGACGTCCGAAAAAATGTTCCAAACTTTCAATTAAATATACTTATGAATTCTGGGGATTGTTAGAGATTAACAGGCGATTTGGATAAATATTGGGCCATTCCGAGTCATCCTTTAGCAGGGCACCAGGAACTCTCTGCTTTCTATGTCTCTGATTGATATCTTAAGATAAGCATTCAAGCATTATTTAGTAAATTTAACGCGTTGGGGGATTTGAATTTTCGTTACAAAACATTTGAAGGGCGAGAAGGACTACAGAAATCAGGATGACTGAGAAATTTAGTTGAAAATGCATTTTTCAGAAAGAATTTTATCATAGACAAATGAAGTGAAATTCTTCGGTGAAATTCATTCGGAGAGATTGGCTAATTACTGTCATTAGTGTTCAGTGGCGTTACAATTACAATATGTGCAAAAGAGAGATCCAAAAAACTTTACTTATGACTAAATACTTGAAAGCCACCTAAATATTAAGTTCACTAGAAAAAGAAACACATTAGATCTAGAGTCGAGATTCTTAAAAACATCGACAAGAAAAAATACTCTTGATTCAATCAGATTTAAGCTTAAATCAAGAACCAAGCCTCTTAATTTGAGCGATTTCCTTTTGATTTAAGCTTAAATCTGATTGAATCAAGAGTTCTGTTTCCTGTCAATGTTTTCAAGAGTCTGGACTCTAGATCCAATGTGGTTTTTTTTCCAGTGTTCAATTTTTATGTACAGCATGTTGACCGCCTTTTCAACCCCTTCTCCTTAAGGTGCTGCCGGTAAACTAATCAATCACCTAACCCATTTATGATTACGGCCTCCCTCCTAATTTCTTAAAAAATAACGCAAAAAACCTAAAAAATTGCAGGCAAACATTGTTTACTTAGGGGAATGATATTTATTTAAGAAGTGGGAAACTAACGTATGCTTATGTTTTGTTTTGCTCTCCCTTCCACCTGCTCGTGAGACCTCGGTGGTGAAGCGCTCAAACCCGACAAATCCGAGGAATCAATTAAACCTGCAATAATTGACATCACCGTTGTCGAGACTCTATGAAAATATAATTCCCCTGGAGAAACCAGACAACCGTGCTAGCCGAAGATTGCGAACTTTTTATCAGCATCACACATTTGATGTTTCGGAAAATGATAAAATATGAGTGCGGTGCTCGCAAACGAAAAAACTTTTCGTCCCGTCTTTCCCTCCAGCCTCTGCCTCGAGCTCCGTAATTTATTAAAATAATTTAAACTTTTACGAGCACGTATTCCTTTATCTTAAGTATAGAATAACATTCAATAGATCACATAGTTTTTTTATGTCGTTTTTTTCTTCTTTTTTATTCCGGGGACGGCGAACTAAACTGCAACAATTGCGGGCAAGATGAGGGGTGGATGACGTCACAGATAAAGGACGTCGTCGTCGTCTCGAGGAAATAAACAAAACTATTTTCGAAGCGAATGAAACGCTCGTCTAATGTAGATCCCACCGAGACAACTCGTAAAATTGCTGATGTATCACTAGCTGAAGACTTTGCAGACTTTGGACGGAAGTTAATTTTAACGAGACGAGCGCATTAACATGAAATAGTAAATGTTCATTTACAGCGTCATAATCGTGTCGTTTTTATGGTGATACAGGGTGTCTATTTATTCGTGATGATGTCAGGCAAAAGGGCCTCGGGAAGGTAACTTGATTTGTCAAGTACAGACAATGAGTCAATTCAGGTTTAAGAATATCGATTCTTAGTTTTCGGTGCAAATGGCTTTTAACTGTTGAAAAAATTCAGTCGAATTTCGAGCCATAGTTTCTATTATGAATGTAAGCGTTTGAAATGCATTGCTTTCAATGTTGAGACTGAAACCGAGAGAAAGAAGGGTTTTTCAAATTCAAGATTCTATCCTTTCGACACACACTTGTAAGGTTTATTTTCGGGTGCACCTAATGAAAAATTGAACTTCAAAAACTCTATGCATTCGATTGTGTATTAATGGGAGGAACGGATTAGAAAACTTACTTAATGATTATGAAAAAAGTCTCATCGAACATTGAACTAAAACGAATTTTTAAGAATGAAGTACCAGCGGATAAGGTAATTATTTTTTCTCCCTTTTTGGAGGGTGGAGCAGAGTTCCTGTAATCTCTTTCCATTTTCTGATTCCCTGACTTTTTTTGCTTTTTCCTAACTCCAAAATTTTCGAATTCCTAGACTTTCCCTGCACTTTGAATTAAACTTTAGTGTATTTTCGGAAAGAAATACACCATTTCCCTTCAATTATACAGAATTCTGTCAAACGCTACGCGGGAAATTACCAGACTTTCCAAGTTTTCCAGAACACCGAAAACTCTAGTAAATAAAGGTCAATGATAGGCAAATTCAATCTAAACTGTGAGAATAAAACTTCATCTGAAGCACCTAACTTCAGTTCCTACTACGAACACTTCATTTTTCGATCCAGGTAACCAAATTGTTTAGTCTTGGGGAATTGAGCTTCAGTTCAGATGACCGAATTCTTCCTTTAAAAATACGAGTGTTGGTTTGAATAGCAAAAATTTTTGTTATCTGAAGTGGTGTTAACGTCT